CAGGTACCAGGTTCTGCCCAACTGATCTTTAAGATCGTCATCCACCTTCCGAGCGTACCCTTTCGAAATGATATCAGACATAAAGCTGCAGTAATCCGTGTAATACTTGTCATCAGACATTAGACGTTTCTTGAGGCTGTTCAGGCGCTTCTCAGCTTGAGCATAGTTGTTTGGGAGCTCAGTGTTCTTATGTTTGAAAGGGAGGGGCATTTCATAGTGCAAGTCCTCGAGATGAACGATACCAGTTTCCACAGTCTCGTAGAACTTGATGTCTTCGCGCGACATTGATATTCCCTTTTCCTTTTCGGAGAAGTCAAGTTCAAACATTCGTTCAACTGCCTGCGGTGTTATCTGTTCCTTAACCGTCCTTTGAGAGACTAAATATCCTCGCGGGGATGAGGTGTCTTGCTGATTAAGATGAATTCTGTTGCACGTTAAAATGCTACTCTGACAGGGAGTATAGAGAGGACCGTTTATGTACCATCCGAGCAGTGACCGTACAGCATATGGATCTGATTCTCCACCGTAAACAATTTCTCTTGGTCGTAAGGCACTTGGACAGTTCAATCCGATAAGAAGACCCACTTCAACATCTTCCATGTAGGGGGAAAGTTCGGCACTAACATCCTTCAAATGAGACATCCTACTGATTACATCAGGTCGTGGTATTTCACTGCGGTCCGCTGGAATGATGTTTCGCGTGAAAGTTCTGGGCAACTCTAACCTTGCACTCTCGTCCTTGACATTAGCTACGACTAATCCTTCAATGGCCTTCGACGTTACGCTGTGTGTTCCATGGATTGTAGTAAGAGTGAGGTCAGTGCTACTTCCTTCAACGCCAAGAGCCTTAGCTGCGCTTTCATTCACAAACGTTCCACCGCTGGCATTGTCCAGTAAAGCATAAACTCGTATTTTCTTCGCTGGATTACTCTTATGAAACAACCAGACTAGCAATATACCCATGTTAACCGGCACATCTCCAGCTTCAGTTATGTTGCAGATGGCAGTGTGATTGCTACTAACTCGAGGTCTATCTTGAGGTTGGTTCTTGTCACCTTTGTCGTTCGATTTCTTAATTCCATCAGGGTTGTGTAGTGACGTTGGATGCTGCTTGTTGCACGTCCTGCACGTTTGTCTTTCCTTGCAATGCTTTGCAATGTGCTGGTCGCTAAAGCAGCCGAAGCACAGTTTCTTCTCTAGTACAAAGTCTCGACGATCACTCAGAGATTTCTTCAAAAACTGTTCACACTCGTTTAAGTTATGAGGCTTCTTGCATAAAGAGCATACAACAGACTGTTGATTGCTAGCTTCCTGATTTACACCAGTAGCAAGGTTTGTCCCTTTTCCCCTTTTTAGGGGCTTTCTTGTAAACTTAAGATGAGTGCCTCTGTCTTTTTCATCATGATTTGGCTTGCTAACATATTGCTCTGAAAACACAGGATCTGTGGCAAGATCAGCTTGTTCGCGCACGAATTGAGAGAACTCTTCGAAGTCGGCTATTCTTCCCTTTGCACTTTTTGTCCTATTGTTCCTTTCAGTCCATTTGGTTCGCAGGTACTTAGGTAACTTTTCCCACAGTTGACGCAGTACATGAGCAGTGTTTAAATCATCCATATGAGACATGCCTTTCATAGCAGACTTAGCTTGATCCAGGGCAATAGAGAAATCTTGGAGGGCTAAACCATCGTTTGGTCTGATTGGTGGCCAAGAAGACAATTTCGTGATGTGGGCATTAGCTATCTTGAAAGGATCACCGAATTGTCTCTTTAAAAGTCTCTTAGCTTCTTCATAGGATCCTTCCATTTTCCTTTGTAGACAACCGTTTATAATTTCTTTTGCTTTACCTGACGTGTATTGACCCAGAAAATATAATCTCTCATTGGAATCTTCAACCTTTGATTCGATTAATGACTCAAAGGCAGTCATGAATAATGGATACTCCATAGCATCACCATAAAACATAGGAGGCTCGTTCGATGGCAAAAGACTCCTTGCTTGCTGGTTGACAATAGTCTGAGACAACTCAGTTTGTTTTCGTTGAATTTCCACAATGTCTTGGAAAGTATTGTCTTTGACTGACAAACTTGTCGAACAGCCTTGTGGTGGTGATGGTGGCAGACACCATACCTGATCAGGAGCAGTATACGTAACAGCAGGAGTCGTTGCTAAAGATGGGTATGATGAAGAATGTACACTCGAGGGGTGTTCATGGGGTTTCGCTGCGTAGGCCGTAGTCTCTTCCTTACTCCGTAATGCACCAGTATTTATTGGTGTTGTGTAAATGGGTCCTTTCTGAGGTACCGTAAAAGAACTAAGAGGACTAGCTTGTAAAGGCTGTTGATAATCTGTAACGCCTAAAGAACTTACAAGTTGTTGCTGCGAAGTTGGTTCCAAACCAGCAGAGTTACCTGATTGTATTGTACAAATCGGAGGACTTTGTGTATGAACAGGTGCAAAAGTTGACTCTTCATTCTTCATTTCTTCGTAAATCCTTTCTTCTTCCTTTGCTTGAGCTAAACTCTGTTTTAGCTCTAAATGTTCAGCTGCCATTTTAAGCGCTTGCTTTTCCTTCAGAAACGATGCTTCAATTTCCAATGCTGCAACCTTAGTTTTTGCTTCTATCAACTTAGCTTTAGATGAAATTGAAGATGAGGTGGACCGTTTAGAGTGATTTGATTTTCTTGTGCGATGAGACCCACTAGAGATAACAGAGTTTACTTCATTTGACTGATGCCTTTTCGCCTTGGACAAATATTCAATGACAGACTGTTTAAATTTAAAGACATCTTCATCGTGAGCATCGTACCATGAATTGGCATTAACAATAACAGTTTCATCTTCTAACGCGTCAACATAATTATCCTGAGCATCTTGCAGTTTAACAAGCAAATTGTTAAGACCTTCCATTTCAACTGACACAAATTCATAATTCTTAAGATCAGCAAGTAGCGGTTTCATTTTGTTTATCTGTCTAGTTACGTGACGTAACGCCACAGTTCTATGATCCTTTAACCTTTGTAACTCGTGTTGTTTACCTTTATCCGTTGGAATTTTTCTCCTTTCGCCCACTCCTAGTGCTTCAGCATCACTGACCGTCGATTTTGCTCCCATATTCAGCGAACCTTGAACCTTTACTGAATTAGGAAGTTCCGTTTCTGATGCTGCATCCGTTGGCTGAGTGTTAAGCGGCGATATAACACGAAACAGTTCCGTATCCATTGTTGGGGAGTGCGAACGCGAAACTTGCAAGCTCAGCAAATTGTCATCCTCAAAATAAGCCGCAAATTCCTTGCCTTCACCTTCCATGACCGTAAATATCCCCAGAACCGTAAAACCAGGTCAAAACTATAGATAAATAGAAGCACCACCGTAACTTTTATAATCCTTGTAAATCCATAAAGTCCATGAGGTCGTGAAATAACTGTGGCTGTGAATGGCGGCACATGATAGCCGTGGCGATGAACATAACAACAAAACGTTTAATCATACACGAGGCTGAATCAACTCACAAGTATCATCACAAACATCCGTTAGAAAGCTTTAGAAATCCGTAGCACGACAAAGAAAAACTGAAACAAACGACTTACAAAACACTTGGGAAACTTGAAGAAAACCTTAGTGAAAACTTCAGGTTATTTTACGGTGGCCTCGTGCCCGCCAATCCCGAGGCCCCGTGCGCATGCTCCTAATAAACAAGGGGGTAAGCCCGCTGGTCAGGATACCAGCAGTTACACAGTAATGAGGCAATGAATACAGATGCAGGAGACTTAGTTACTGAAACGCCTCCATAAGTTGCTTTGAGATTAGCTGCATTTGCTTTTCTCACTGGAGCAGATAGGGCACTAGTAGTACAATAAGTCATTATCAAACAACTCTTCCTGAACATCTTGTGGGCGAGAGTGATAAGAGTCTTCGCAACAATATTGGCCAACTACAAACTGCACCAAATATGCCTACAATTATCAAAGGACAGATTTGATTTGACTTCAATGTATTAAAGGTCAGCATGATAGCAGTCTTGGGGGACACAAACAAAGGAAATGAATGAAGGTCATATCAACAGAACCACAAAAGTAGGCAAATAGTACTGTGCAAGAAAGCAAGAAATGTGTACCTCTTCCGTGCATTACTTGTGGTTTTGTGGTGTTTGGGGGTTATTTTGGAGTGATTCCAGTGCATTTTAAGTGCATGCATGATATACACTTTAATAGAGAGAGTACAGCAAGGAACCCAAAACTCGTTTCAACGACCCTTAAATGGTCCCAAACACCACTATTAAGGCAGGAGTCCCTGGGCAAACTCTTGCATTTACATTGATAGGCAACACGGCATTTATATGTTGGCAGCTTTTAAGAGGCTTGGGCAACCTGTGCTTGAAATAACATGTGTAACCAAGGAAGATTTAAGGCTTTAGAAAGTGTTAAAACTGTCATTGGCCATTTTTATGCTAGAGACGTTAAAGTCGTCTAGTGTAAAAACGGGACGCACAAAAGTAGACGACCTTATTTAAAAAAGTAGATTTTTCTGAAAAAAGAACTAGGCTCTACTCTCGGAAGACACTGGACACGAGTTAAAGCGGCGCCAAAAATGAACTTCAAGCCCGCGAAATGCGAACAAATTGTTCAAACTCTAACATGGCGGCGGCGTTACAACTTTTAAAGTCTATTTTTTGCCGTCGCCAAGAAAGGCATGACTTAGAAATTCAGATGTCGGTAACACAGGAAAGTGAATCGAGAAAGCGAAAACTTCAGATGATGGAAGATGATGAAATAGACACAGCCAAAGTAATAGGTTTGTGTGCCGTCCGAGCCAAACGACCCAGAAAGGAAAGAAGCCCAGACGAACAGAGGAGTTCCTCATGGTGGAGACATAGCTACCGAAATTGGGACGACAGTACGTTCAAAAAACGTTTGAGGATAAATTGAGCAACGTTTCAGTTCATTCTTGGCGAGATAGAAGCCCAGCTAGTCAAAGAGCCAACTCGTTTCAAACCTAAGCCGATGCCTCCAGACACGCAGCTTCCCATTTGTTTGTATAGATTAGCCCATGGATACACCTACAGCACAGTTGGAGACCTGTTTGGTGTTGCTGAATCAACCGCGAGTGTCATTTTTAACCAAGTATGTAAGATACTTGTTTCAACTTTGTACGACAGGTTTGTGTACCTACCCAGAAATAGTGCCGAATGGCAGCAAGGGTTTGAAAGCTTTCTTGAAAACTGGGAATTTCCCTGCGTAGGAGCCTGGGATGGTTTCCACGTTTACGTCAGCACGAAGTTGAAAAATTATTTCAGCTTTAAGAAGAGATATTCCGTATCCAGCTTGGGATTCATTGCGTCTAACAAGAGGTTTCTGTGGGCAGCTGTGGGGGCTCCTGGCTCTACCCACGAATCAAGGCTCCTGAAAAGTTGCGACCTCTTTGCTGACATTCAACAGGGACGGATTTTCCCAAGTTCTGTACTAAGAACAAAGGAGTATGGAGACATACCATTCACAACGGTCGGTGATTCAGCATTCCAACTACACGTGGCTAATGAAGCCGTACAGTGAAAGTACAAGAGACCCAAGGAAGCGCTACTTAAACAAGAGGCTTTGCTCGGGTAGAATTGTGTCAGAGCATGCTTATGGCATGTTAAAAGGAGGATAGAGGATCCTTTAGAAGGAGACAGAGTGTAAACTAAAGAACATCAGGCAAGTCATCATGGCCTGCATTGCCTTGCACAATATATGCATTTCAAGGGATGACCCATGCAGTCCCAGGTGGGGGCTGGACATTGAAAATCTGTGAGCAAGACGATGAGGCAGATCAGGTCAGGACAAGAATCACCAACTGGCTCTGGGATATCCACCAGCAAAGGCAATCAATGGAGTAGAAGAAGAAATCAACAGAAAAATTGACTGTTTGTATGTTTTGTACCCCAGACCACACCCAACTTACCCCCAAGCAACCAGCAGGAGGGACTAGAATGTGGAACTAGACTATGAGCAATCAAAGTGAGGACTACATAACCGTAATATCAAAATGTTTTTACTTACTCTACTGAAGTACAAAATCCTTGGACAAAGTAAGGATTTCACTAAGCCTGTAAAACAAAATTCATTTCTTAAACATCTTACGGTTGACTAAAGTAAACATACATATTGGGACTCTCAACCATGTTTATTAAGGTACATACTAGCTGTATAGCTAGTCCTTTATATTAACAAACATTTAAACTCTATGGCCTAACATATTGTTTTTAAACAGCAACAGTCTGGTAGAAACTTAGTCAACTACAATACATGTAAAAAGTTAACTAACTATAATGTTTTAAAAACGTCTGGGCTATAAGATTGGAAAGGATGGCAAGCCTCCCACACAGGCACTCTTATAGCTTTGTCTCATGTTCCTCATGAATGCATAATGAAGCCCTAAGAGTATCCCTGTGGTACGTTACCGTTAGATGATAGCCTGAATAAAATAAGTGGCTTGTCAATAAGCTTCTTTGTTAAGCCACTGAAACAACAAAAGTAGTTATGCAAATGTTTAATGGACCTTGTACAAAAAAGTTTGCAGGCATACACTGTAGTTGAACTTTATTTCAGAAGATTTAAGGATTTTTGAAGTGTTAAAATTAAAGATAATGGTCATTTATATTCTCTGGTATTTTATCAAGGATGCAGTGCATGTCAATAGATTTGTTGGTTGGGGATCAAGGGTGGTAGGCACTGTCAAGCTTGACACAGCACATGGGGCTACTATAAATACCCCTATTGCTATGACGTCATCCTACACTTTCCTGAACTTCATCACTTAAAACAATTATTTCCCTTCCCTCTTAAGGCCTGATCAAATCGCTTAACCACCTTTCCCGAAATTGTAAGACATTGTTCTAAATATCTTGAAAAGCTGTCAATAACTTTTACTTTTGCTTAAAAAACAAACTTGTCTTCAATCAATTATTGCTTGTGGGAGCTGAAAAAGTATGTATTAGGAGAATGTCAACATTAGTATAATAATAATTATTATACTTATGTTGACAATCTCCTACTACATACTTTTTCAAATCCCACAAGAAAGAAAGAAAAACAGTATAAACAACCTTCAATAAAAAATGGACGCATTTAGTTGAAAACCACAGAACTGGATATTTCGAGCATATAGATAGAGGTTACTGACACTAGTAGACATTTTAACATAATAGTGAGGGAAACGCCAGAGTCGACCAAAAAATAGAACCCTAAATATCTTAGAAACTTCTTAATATCCCTCAAAATAACCAGACATTTGAGATATGGACTAACCCTCTTTCAGTATCTTTTGCCCTCTTTCTGATAAAGTTCACCTTATTCAACACTTCAGATAGTTTGAATCTGAAGTGGGGAACTGGACCCTCTCTATACCTTCATTCTATACCATGTGATCCCCCCACTCACAGCCCAGCACACACAAACACACCACACCTACCAACCCCATTTTGCTTAATATCTTTTCCAATCACCCTCTTCCTGAAAAAATGCAAGTAGGCAAATGCAAAATATCAACTTGTTCCTAGCATGATGCCAAATGTATTACAGGCATGTGGCAAAACCCTAAAACAATAATCACAATCTAGCCTGTAAATACAGACAGATTTCAGGTTAAAGCTTCATGCTGGTTAAACAAAACAATGATAAAACAACAGCCTGAAATCTTTTCTTGTTGACAGGTTTATGAAGCAAAATTTGCTGAATTTCACCTATTAAAAGGTTTTTCGAGAAGGCACTCTACCGATTATAACTATCTAAATTTGTTTAGTGTGGTTGTTGACTCTCAGCTCCAGAATAGGCACTTGGGAATGCTGGTTCACGCATCACCCAAGCATTTTGGTATGGTTGCACAGGCGGCTGAAAACGGGCCATTATCTCCATCATACGCAGTTCATGTTGTCGGTTGAGTTCTTCGTGTTTCTCCTGATAATTAAGAAATGCTTCTTCCCTTTTCTGATTTGCCTCAAGCCAAATTTGGATTCGTTCATCTTGTGCTTTTTGAAGATTCTCAAAAGTTGTAGATAATTGGCTGATGGCATCTTTCTGTGAAGTTATTTTATGTTTCCTGGGTCGAACAGAGACACTTGATTTCTGTACCTCCTTCTTGTCCTTCTTGGATGCCTTCTTTAAAACAACTTCATCTTCCTCAATGGAAGTCCCTTCATGGTCTACATCAGTTGGTTGACATTCGACTCTAAACAAAAAATTGAAAAACACCTTTTTTTAGGTTCAGCAAAACTGCAATTTTAACTGTATTTTGAGTCAGGTTTCAATGCAGTGAGGCAAATTAAGTTGAAGCACTGACCTATAATTCCTTGTTTTTTGCCATTATTTTGACGAAAATCACATGAAAGAAATGAAAATGGAAAAAGAAATTGTATCATTATTGAAACCAATGACAAAAACAAGTCAAGTATATGGAATATCCAAGGAAGATGTTTTCAGATGCGTACTCAGTCCCAAATGGCCTTTCAAGATGGCGGCTTGAAGGTGTCTTTTCATGGACTGTAAGTATCTGCTAGAATAAATTGCCGTTTTTAGGGGAAATTGTGTACAATTTGAATCACGACAGGTTTAAGTGAAGTTTTAAGCTCTTCTTGGTGATAAATGTGTTATCGAAAGCCATATTTTCGCTTCATATTTTGTGCCGATTATGAATGACTAGACTGAGTTTATTTTCTTACTGGTTATTTATATTGTCATATTTGCCAAGAATCAACAAAAGAAGATCTGAGGA